TTGGAATATCTAATTGGCGCCACGTAGCGAAAAGAAGAAACGACTGGCGCGCTGTTGTTAACTCGGCTATAATCGCGTAAGCGGTGACTACGCCAGTCAAGAAGAAGAATCCAGGCGCGAAAAATTCATTAATCATGAATTTATATTTTTTATTATAGCGTTCCTATGGATGAATATAAGAGATAATCATTCCCTCACACAGTGACATTTCAAGAACGTAAGGGTTTTTTAACAATTGTCTGTGGATTATCATCACTCCAACATTGACAAGTTTTTTCATTAAAATACTCATTCAACCACAAGTGAGCTTCATTACTGAAACTTCGTTTTGGAATCTGTGGTCATCTCAATTCAATTTCTGCACGAATAGGATTTTGTAAGACCGAAAATCAATTTTCTTAGAAAAAATCTTCTATTAGAAGGATCGCCATAATCCTCATTTTACAGAGATTCATTCTTACATAGATAATTTACTCCACCGCTTGCTTTCGTGCTTAACATTTGGCATCTCTATAGATGCGCATTATCCAATATATTATAGGTAGTGGGAAACCGATTCATGGTTGTTCGAATTACCGACTCTGCTGTGCGACTTTGACTTATGATTATCAACATTTTGGTTATAAATTTCTATGATTTTCTGCTGTTGTTCCGTGGTAAGTATGGTCATTATGATATGGCTAACAAGACTAAGTATAAATTAGGCAAAAGCTGTGAAAAATACCCACTCCAAAAAAGGTATTGTCTTATTGAAAACCACATGTTTAAAAACTTAGTTTATAATAATTTCCACTAAAAATATAAAATATCAGTATACATATACTATATCTCTAGGTTGCAGGTGAAGAATGCACAAACTTCGTATAACCCGTTAAACTTGATAACAGATAGTTTGGTTTTAAAACCACGCTGTGTATGTAATTCATATGATATTTAGCTTACATCCCTTAAACTGTCGAAAGCTTGCTGGAAATATTGGAATTTCTAGTTATAACCTCATAAATACACAATTCTTTACATATATACATATTTCGAAGAAGATGTCAATTCAAAAGCAACTAAAATTCATTTCACCAAATTCTGGCAAGCTTTCACCACAGCTTTCTTATGCCTTAGTCTGCCAAAACGTTGGCTGACACAAACGGGTATTCTCAAAATGCTCACCCAGCTTTGTATGCTTTTTGGCAAACACCGTTAGCTGTCAATTAATTTACATGTCTACCGAGTCTCAATTGAGTTCAATTTGTCGAGTAATATATTTGCTTTTTATGACTGCACAAACGGCTGCCTGAGTCTGCATAAGCGAACTCAATGGCCAAATTGACTGAGTGTCTGACTGCCTGGCTGCCTGACTGGTTGCTTGCTTGGCTGGTTGCGGCAATTGAGTGGCTTAAATGGCTCACTTGTTGCCAGACATTAAATTTGCAACTTTTCAGCACACAATACAAATGAGGCGTTTGTTGCATATATTATATTTTGGAGCTGAATAAACAATAAGCAAGAAATATACTGTAGTTGAGTAGTTTGGCTTTAAAGATTTCTTATGTTTCGCAGATTTTTGTCTGTGCCAGCTCATCTGTGCTTTGATTTGCTTTGATATTCATTACTCTGGTAGCTGCCAGCTGTCTGTGCGCTCTTATTAAATATTTCATTTAATTAAGTTGGCCGCATAATTCTTTTGTCTACGTTAGTTTGACCCGATTAGATGCACTCCTTGCCATGCCAACCTTCCATTGCCTTCTCTTTTATTATGTTTTTTCCGCTTGGTTTTATAATTGTTTATCGTTATTGTGCTTGTCAGTCGCAGCCAAAGGCAGGCAGTGCATTGGCCAGCCAGTGAAAGAGCAAATCGAGTTGTCAGCGCCTAATTATATGCTAGACAAAGGCACTTTTTCATGCCGATCCAGTTCATGCACCACAAAGCAACTAAAAGGGGGTGCGCTCGAAAGCCAATTTTATGCATTCAACCTAACGTTTATGACATAACGCCGCTGTCGAGACTATTCAACGGATATTAGGGTCAGCAATTAGCAACCGCTTGTATTTGCAGGATGAGCGTTTGTCCTTGAAACATTTATGCATTAACGGCGATTGAATATTCTTCTGCGTGCATTAAAAATATGTATAAATGCTTTTTTTCAATTTTATTATTTCTGTTGCTGTATGCATGTTCTTTGCATGCTTTTGTTCAGAGGATTGGCATTTGAAAATTGAATTCACGGCGCCCTTTAAGTGTTTTTAATTAGAATTAGTTGCTTGATGTGGTCGAGGGATATAATCAGCGAATATCGCGTTTTGTGTGAAACGGTGGAAATAATGTTATTAAGAAATTAATCGCAAGCATTCAAGCTGAGTGAGTTGCTGATTGATTAGGGTAACGTAAAATGATGGGTGATGGCATAATAACTTATTTTTGTTGGATAAGAAGTAGTTTTAGTTGTTTGTTGTATTTCTTTATCATTCAGTAATATTCAAGGCAATATTCATTTTTTTTTCTGTCATGAAGTTTCCACAAAATGAATCGAAACTCTCTTTTATTCAGATTTTTTAAACTTTGTTGGAATTTGGTTGTGAAATGTGAAATAAAGTCTTGAAGTATTTAAATGATCTGTTTTTCGGTATAGAGTTTCCATTTCTATTTTTTATTTTTAGCAAAATCTCACATTTTGGGAATATCATTAAAGATTTTAAAATTAAAGACAAAGATAAAGATAAAAATAACTATAAAGATCACGACAAAGATACAGATAATGATAAATGTAAAGATAAAGATAAAGATCAAAATAAAAATTAAAATAAAAGTAAAGTGAAAATAAAAGTAAAAAAAGAAAGGTAAAGATACAGATAAAGTTAAAAATAAAGATAGAGATAAAGATAAAGATGAAGATAAATTTAAATATAAAGATCGATTATTATTCCTTTCTTCCAATATTCAGATTATGCATTACAACGCTACTGTTATTGACCCTTTTCAATTTATAGCAATAATTTGAAGTAAAAAACAAAGCCAAATTCATGCAATTTAGCCAATTGCATCCTCCCAATCAAATAGTGCTTGAAATCACCAATGGATTGAACCAAAAAATGTATATGATTGAGTTGCCATGCGGGATCTACCATTACTCACATAGTCATTAACTTTCAATTAAATACATTCCTTCGATGTAGCTTGAAAGCAGTTCTCTCAACTGAGTCGGTAAAACAACTGAATCTAATTACAAAGCATATAGTAATATAAAAACAATAAATATGGATTTTTCAATTTGTTCTTTCGATTCATTCTCGAGAATTTATTTCTTGTTAGGTTGAACTTTACTCTCCTTCATCTGCCATTGCCTGCTGATGGTTCATATTAAATATTTAAACCTCCGTTGTGCAGATTTATCTACTGTTTTGCTTTTTAGAAACTGAATAACTTTACTGTTACTATTAACAGCTTTTTATTTTGAGCTACTGCCTTGGGCTGAAACAACCTGCGGCACTTTAATTACTCACAGCACTAATTTTTTATCCTCGCAGTAGTTGTTGTTAATGTTGTGAGGCACAAGTTGTGCCCGCATCAAACTTATTAAGTTTGTAAGCGGGAGACTGCCATTTATTTATATATATATTGTGACAAAAAAGTGCTCGGATATTATAAATAAAGCGCAAAATGTTAAATTATTCAACAATATTTATTCTGTGGCCTTTTAAGTAACCCCCACCAGATGTAATACACGTTTTTTCCGGTCCTTAAAAAACTCAGCAAATTTTGTTTCATCTTTTTGACGGAATGAAAAAAAAAATTCAGTTTGGTGAGAAGGAAAAAATCATCAGGCAAATGTCTCAAAACGGCCAAAAAGAACTGCCTATAGACCGTCTGTCTCTCTGGAACAAATTTATGATAAACCAAACCACGAATATCGAAAGAAACAATTAGCATCTCCTTGATTCTTGCGCGGCTTTGGTGTGCTTTTTGTTTGGCTTCGGCTCGCTTCTTCGATGATTGTTGACCTTTTTACATGTCAAACTTATAAACTCATGTCTCATCGGCAGTTTTAATGCCCTCTATGAGAGCGGGATCGAAATTCGCACGATCAAGCATGTCCAAAGAGACAGGTAACAGGTAGGGTAATCTTTTTGAAAAAAAATCAGATTTAACGAGTCTAGCAAGAAGGCTTTTCATACCCGAATGTTGAGTTCTCTTGCCATCTCTCTAACACTTCCCCGCCGGCTTTTAAGCACCATATCCACTTTTTTAATATTCTCATGACTTGAAGAGATCGGAGGTAATTTACCCGGGTAATTTAAATTACAATTTCCCGGTACTTTTTTGTCTCAATGTATGTATATATATACTATGCACTATGTATGTATACAACATGCAGTAGCAACTGGACACTCTCGATTTGAAAGCACAAACCGTATAGTATATGCGAAGGCGAAACCCGAAACAGTAAATTAATTTGGCACCAGTTGTCGGCAAGAAAAAACATGTGCAGCAAAGCGAAAAGTATCAATGGGAAAATCGAGAAAAGCTAATAAAATGAAACTCCAACGAAGACAAATTCAATTCTGCTCTCATTACAACCAGGCATCTGCACACACACACTTGCAACTCACACACACATATATAAACAGCCAACTGCATACACATTTTAAATGTTTTGCAATTCTAATTTATACATTTTTACTTACGGCGTTCTCTCGCTTTCGCCTTTTAGGTGCCGGAACGTGTGCGCGCCATGAATGCCAGCATAAAACTTTTGCTCATTGTACGTGAACCGGTGACAAGGGCCATTTCTGATTACACACAATTACGAAGTCACGCGGCCACGGCCACGCTGCCGCTAGCCGATGGACCCGCAGCAGCGCCACCATCCCCCGCGACCGCTAAATACAGCGCCAACAGCTATCAGAGGCGACGCGGCCGCGCCATCGATGCAGCCGGCTCTGGCTATGGACCGGGTGCAGGCTATACGAACCAGCAGCTGCGCGCGTCCCAGCATATTGCACTCTATGGCAAAACGAGCAAGTCCTATGTAGCAGCACCAGTGTATGATAATGCAATCGGCGGCGGTGGTGGTGGCGATGAGGGCGGTGGCGCGGCACGGAATCGTATTACTGAATCCGCGCACACAACGGCACCAACGCCTGGCTCGGCGGCCGCCGCAGCAGCAGCAGCTCAAATTGCAAGCAAGTAAGTGCTAGCAACTAAGTGTAAAATTGTATATGTTTATGTATGTGTTAGCACGCGGCAGCGGCGCCAAAGTGTATGCTATGAAAACATAGTAATAAAATGCTGAAAAGAAAGGAAGTGTGCTCACACCGTCTATTTTGCATACAAATGAAATGTAAAATGTTAGAAAATTGTAAAAATTCAACACGGCAAGCATTGGTTAGCGCAGAGTTTGTATGCGCCATAACAAGTTACTTACGTTTGTGCCATGGCACTAAATGAATGGAGCAGACGCGACATTCATTTTAATTTGTTAATTCAATAAAATAAGCGCGTGTTGCCGTTCAATTTAAATTGAGCGAAAACAAAAATGTTTTGCTTAACGCTTATAGCATTTCTATGCAGCAATAAGTGGGCGGTTGTGTATGCAGGCACACAGCAGAGGCAACATGGCGTATACGTAACATGAAAAGCAGCATTAAGTATATGTGTACATATACATATGTAAATGTTATATATATAGTATATACAACTAAATTACATAAATACACAATTATGCACATACCCTCTTTCTCTCTCTCTCTCTGCCATTTTTTCACTTTCTCTTTTATGCTTTTTTATATTCATAGATCATTCGAGGAGCTAGCCATATTCCCCAATGGCACGGTTAATGAGTCCTATCGTCCGCTAACCATATCTCTATATCATTTGCATTTGCATCGTTGGCTGGAAGTCTTCCCGCGCGAGCAATTACTCGTTGTCAATGGTGATCGATTAATTGAGGACCCCGTTTCGCAATTGAAGCGCATCGAAACGTTCTTAGGTAAGTCGTTAGTTGGTGGCGGCAAATCGGAAACGGCCTCACCACCCTCACCTTACATCTATTGATATATACATATAGTCATCTACTCCTTGTCCACACAATTACTTCCTGTCTGCCACCACGTGTGTGTATGTGTAAGTGTGCCTGTGTGAATGTCTGCTGATACATTTTGCTAATTGTGTTGCCCTAATTTGATTAAAGTGTATTGAAAGCATGTGCAAACTTACACACATATGTACATACACAACTAAAGGCATTAGTGTGTACGTGTTTTCATTAAATACTTATAGTGTAGGTATATTACAGCAAGCCGCTATGTTGCGCGTTCTACCCGCCCGCCGTATGGGTGACAGCACGTGATTGCTTCCCAACGGCAATAGTAAATAATAGGCGATGCAGGATGAGTTGCACCTTAACCATACTTACTAATGCAATTCAATGATTTGGAATTTCACATGGATTTATTTTCGTCTGCACATACGTATACCATATATGATGCTTTCAGCGGTATATTGACTGAATAGTAATGATATATATGCTGGAACTATCTAACAAAAGAAAAACTACAGTATGTTTCTACTGTATTTGAAGAATATTGAAGTTTCTATACAATTTACAATATAAAACTCCCTGTTTTATTAGAAGTATGAAATTCTGCTCGAGGATACTAGATGGGAAATGGTCAAAAACATTAATTGAAATCATTAATATTTATGACAAAGAGTGTTTTCCAGCTTTGTATTTATATTTACCGATCGCTGAAATTCTCCTGGTATCAGTTGTTTCAGTAAAAGTTGATTTTTGACTCTTCATAGACTGAAACCCTACTTGCGGGATAAGACTTATGAAGATAGTTTGAATGTCATATAACGTATTATTAATAGCGAAGCGTTTTGGAACTATGCCTGCGACCCTGAAACAGATGATCTGTTGGCCAAATATCGTGGCAAAGGTGACCCTTAGCCGAGAAACCATGTCAAAGCAAGTCAAAAATCAAGGTTATGTGGACAATGTTTGTTTGATTATCGAGGTGTGGTGTACTCCGTAGTTTTTCCGACCGGCCAAACCGTCAACAAGGATTACAATTTAAGTGCGTGAAGCTATTCGTAAAAAGAGGCCGAAATTATAGGACGATTCTTCGTAAGCTTTTCGCTAAATCGTAAGCTTGTGCCAAATTTGCAACCATCATATTCGCCTGATTTAGCTCCGTGTGATTTCTGTATATTCAGCAAACTTGAATTGAAGACATTCATGAATCGGTACGCACATTGAAGGCTATATTTTTTCGGGGATTGGAGGCCAAGTGGGATAACTTTGAAGGGAACGACATGCATCTTTTTGAGAGGGGATATCTCATACAAGATCGGGCGAAAAAAATCCATTATTTTTCCTAGGTGTGGCTTTAATACTCAGTATAAATGCGATCGACTTGTAAAAAAATTACATTTCCTTGTAAAGAAATGCAGACAGTTTTTGTTTGCGTGGATGAAAATGGCTCTGATACACTCCTTAGTGAATCATGTGCAATTTTCATTTCGTCAATTTTATTGTGGTAATTTTGATATGAAAAGAGCACTACCCTTTATAAGGCTAGTTATTGAATATATCGATGACGTAATAAATATTTGCCACAGCAATTATATTGTCCAGCAGTATTTCATTAGCGCAGTAACTAAACATTGCATAAAACATCCTAACCAGCTTTTGGAACAACTTAATTGAGTCTATATACAAGAAAAAATCACAGTTAATACAAAAAAAAAAGAAAAACTAAAAATTGTGAAATAAGCATTGGTTAGCTGAGTTTATATATGCCACACAAGTTAATGCAAACAGAACTTATAGACCCTATTCAATTTCCATCTGCTGCTGACAAAATCCCTACAAATGTTTAAGCAAATAGTTAAAGATGAAGAAAATGAGTCAGTTATGACAAAGTTAGTTGAGAACTGTTGTGGTCGAATTACGATGAGCTGACCCAAAGGGTAATCAAGGAAGGATTGTTGGTCAGCAAGGATTTGCTGGAATTGGAATCCGTAGAGAGTCATGAGCTGCTACACTACAGACAAATTTTTAATTCGTCTTAGTTCGTACCTGCACCGTCAGTACTTGGAAATTAAGGAATCATCTGTAGCCAATAACAGAGGAATTTTTATCAGGAAAGCACCGACCACACATACCCACAGTGCTCTAAAAGGGTTGGGCGATTTTTATGCATTAATATTTTAGTTCAGACATGGCTGCAAGTGATTACTATCTGTTTCTATCATAGTACTTTTTCAATAGGTACGAGGGTTTTAATAACAAATATATCTTTCGCAATGACAACAAGTTATGAACCAGAATGACGCATGTTTGACCTAAATCGGATAAGTCTAGATTTTCAAAGTAAATCATAGCACTCAATGCGAAAGAATAAATTTATTTCTAGATATTATACTTGTAATATATGGTATATTGAAGTGTTGAGCTTAAATTCGACACGGCTATTTCATAAATTTCGGGACTTATTTAAATATATTATGTTAATTAATAACCTAAAATCATAACGTATAGCCCTTCCATGAAAAAAAGTTAGAATTCTCATATAATCTTAAGCAAAACGAAATGGTTAGTTTTACTCATTATAGTCGCGAATTTTAACAATGTGGTATTTTGGAAAAAAATAATGTTCTAGAATTGGTAAAGCTGCCTTATTTCAAAAGGCTCGATTCAATTTTTCGCATAATTTACTCTTTAAGGTATAACTCCAACTTCATAGCCATCATCAAATTTCAGTTCTCCTATACACAAATGATAACATGCACACTAATGTATAGATAGCTACGCACCCATTTGTATATACATCTGCGCACAGCTAAGTGTATTTGAGCAGCGAATAACAATCAATCAGTCAAATGCAGTAGTACCGAAGTGCCAGTTTATATGTACGCGTATGTATATGAATATCTACGGCAATTCAAATCAAATTTTAACGTTGCAAGGAGATATTTGATGCGCATATTTTAGAAGTAAATTTTGATTCTGAAGATGGACAATTATAAATTCGTGTAGTTGCATGATATTCACTTGCTAGCAATAAGCATTAATATTACATCAAATTTATTGTTGCTGTCTGTGAAGTCTTGATATATCTATATACATATATATATATATATTTGATTATGCCTTTGTAAATTAAATAAAGCTCACGAAGTGCTAATACATTTGAAGTTTGCTAATATAGTTTGCGTACATTTCTCTCCTGCAATATGAACTTCGGATTCGGGGAGTTAATTACTTAAGTATAATTAGGAAATACAAGCGTGGTTATGTGTTCATATTTATATATATATTTAATGAGTTAATTATGAAGTTTGCAGCACCCAAATGGAAAATTCTAAAATCCTATAACACATATATACATACATATGTATATGTAAATGATCAGCATGATAAGCTGAGTTAATTTAGCAATCTCCGCCTGTAGTATTTCCTTCCGTCTATGGCATATGCGAACTAGTCGCGCAGACATCGATCTAAAATTTTGCACTAGCCTTTTTATTCCAAGGAAGTTATTTCTTTGTCGGAACCGCCGATATCGGACCACTATGCCATATGGTATACCTCCCACACAAACTGAGTCGTCCAGTTCATGTCCTTGTGTAAACAACTTTTTTATTTATTTATTATTTTTATTTACTTATTAACTAGAATATCTCTTCAAAAAAAAAGAAAAAAAAAAATAATAATAATAATAAAAGAAAAACACTCAGAAACAATTATTTTCTTCTCAATTGCAAATTACAAATTACAAAACTAATGCTGAAAAGATGGAAAAAAAATGCTTTATATTTTTTGAGACATAATATTTTAAAAGAATTCAGTTCCTCTCGTAAATGAAAATTCTGGTAGGTTTTATGTTAAATAAAAAAGGCTAATGTAACATTACCGTATTCAGTACGTTAATACCATGAACAAAAAACAGTAAGACTTTATTCACAATTTTGAAATTCTTAATTTATTCTTCTAAATCTAAGTCGTCTTTCTCAATTCCTTTTAATCCCAATAAATTTGTGTCACCGTTTTTTCCAATCCTCGATAGAATTGTTTAGTCAATTTCCGGAATAGCCGTCGATGCGCGTTTCTTCGGAGGGATTGTTTCAGTTTTCTTAATAGCCAGAAGTGACATGGAGATAAATAAGGCGAATAAGGTAGTTTCGGCAAGATATTGGTTGAAAATTTGGCGAAAAAGTGGCGATGAACCAATGCAGTATGCGACGGAGCATTATTGTGGTGCAAAATCCAAGAGTTGTCGGCCATAATTTCGGCCCTGGTTTACTAATATTTTAGCGCAAATAACGCATAATACTTAAATAATATTCTTTGTTGACTGATTGGCAACAGAGTCTTGATTTTTGACCTGCTATGGCGTGGCTTTTTCGAATTTGGCTCACCTTTGTCACAATATTCGGTCGCTTGATCATCTAATATCTTGGTGGTTGGAAAGTATTATTTCACAGACGTTAACGTGACGCTATTTTTCGAAAAATATTATGGATTTTGGAAATTTGTGTTTTCACTTTTCTTAGGCTCAAATGATGTTCCAAAATGTCGGTAAGATCTCTGACTATTGATCGATGGTGTCAGTTGATGTGGATGACGTCAACACGTTCTCGAACCTCTTTGATTAATTTGTAGGAATGTGCTCGCGACAAATAATAATCACCGACAGTCTTTTTCAAAATTCTGAACGTTTCGGCACCAGAAATTTGACTCCGCACACAAAATATAAAAGAACTTCTTTGTTGAAGCTCAACATTTGAGAGTAATCACATTATTTTCGCCTTCTATTGCATTATACGAATTTACTTCATTTATAACAGTTGTGTGTTCGTTTAGACAGTCTGAAATTTCTGGCATATTATGTACATATATATGTATGCACCACTAAGCATACAAATATACATATACAATTAACAATTCCATTCATAAAATATGTGAAGCTGAAGAAAGTCTCAACGTTCACCACCCGAAACCTAGCTTTATACGCATTACACATATATAAATATATAGATGCATGTATGTATGTTGCTCATACTCCCTGCATGAATGCTCATATTTTTTCACCTCAAATATCACACAAAACTCGCAATTAACTGTGTCGCTTTCACATTGTAAAAAACCACAACTAACTTCATGCATTTTCTCTTCCTTGCATACAATTATTACGGACTACTGCAATGCTGACACTTCACATGCTACTTCGGTTGGTGGCGTTACCTGCTGCTGCTGCCAACTGCAACGCATTAAATTTTCATATTGCGGCCTCTGCAATTACTTACCTCGGCAACTTGGACAACTCCAACACACCGCTTGCAACCAAAAACATTAACAACATCACCACCAACGCTGACACCACGTTGAATGCGGCATAAAAGGCATCGAGCATCGTGTGACCAACAGTCATTTCTACTTCAACGAGACAAAAGGCTTCTACTGTTTGCGTTACGACAGCGGTGACCGATGCTTACGTGAAACGAAAGGACGCAAGCATCCACATGTTGATCCTGTGGTCGTGTCCAAATTGCGAAAGTTCTTTGCCGAGCATAATCAACGATTCTATGAATTGGTTGGTGAGGATCTTGGCTGGCCGGAAGAGTAGGCTGCACACAAAAGAACAACCACTAAAAACGGCACAGTGTAGTTGTGTGTGTGTGTGTGTGCATAGAGTTGTGACTAGAGCAATTGCAGGACAATCGCTTAACGGTTAGTACATGCACCCACACACACATACATTTGCGCTGCTACGTTTGTGTGGTGTGTGAAAACAAGGAGCGCCACCTGAAAGCGACCACAAAGTGAGACCAGCAATTGGCGACCAACAGTAGCTGTAATTGAGAATTAAGGACTGATGGGAAAACAAATTTCAGTTAATTAATTAATTTTAATACACAAAAACACATATATTATACAGTTTACGCAGGTATGTAAATTACACACACACACATGTACATTTATAAGCAAGAAATAATTATTTACGATAAATATTTCTAAGCTTAAGTAGACTTWGAGGTATTCTACAGAGCGATCTACACACAAACACAAAAGTTGCTGCATTAAGTTTAAAATTTAAGTATTTCTTTTAAGCAAAAGTCGGCATGTTTCGGTAAGTGTCAGTGTATGAGTGCGTGTGCGTGCGTTAACGATGTCCTGTTGGCGCGCCTGTGAATGCTGTGCAATGAACCTTTGCTCGGGAATAAAAAGTGCATATATATAATATTTGCTGAAAAAGCAAGTTGCAATGTTAGCATATATATGTATATGTGTATGTTTGTATATAAATTACCGCGAAAAACGTGTTTATAAAGGATTTAGGCAGTCATGCGGAAAGTAAACAGAATATTTGCAGTGTAAAAATTTAATTCAGAAACATTTTTTTATTTATTATATTTTAAAATTAAACAAAAATAGTAGATTATTTTCATTTCATTTCAGCAAATATGTTTACTAGTTAACAGTTTTTTTATAATATTTTTTTTTTTTTCAGTTTCTTATTTTTGAAGTAACTTTTGCTTGTAATATAAAGCTATGGGCAAAAACTAGTAAGACATTGTGCATAGTTTTTAAAATCTAATTCGATTTTCCAGCACCAATCTCTTAATTTTATTGACGTGTTGATTATCACTTGAGGTTGATGGCTGTCCTGATCATGGTTCATCAACCCGTTCTTGACCCTCTTCGAATGATTTGTTCCAAAGTAAGGCAGCAAAAAGGATAACAAATTATCTTATTTACTGTTGAAATCAGAGGCTACCTCTGTCATCAATCACTCACGAATTTTTGTTTCTCCACATCACAATATCTATGCTTAGTATTATAGAGCGTTGAAGTCATGATATTGCAATGAGATTTTGGCAATCAGATCACATCCAGAAACGGAGCTGTCAACCAGCCCCCAATACAGCCTTCTTTATGAATTGCTCAAGCTAATATTCTATGGAGAAAACTTAGCACCAGGTGACCAACTTCCATCCAAACAAACTATAGTGAGATATTGCTCTCAAAAGTAATGAAATTTATACCCAACAAGATGGTCTTCGTAAGTTACAGTCACGTTGGACAAATATCTACTATAAAATTCTATGAAATAAATACGTAACATTTCTTGGCAAATACGCAAAGTGCCAAGAACGGTGATAACAAACAGCAAAAGTTACCATATTAGTTAAATAATTTCACAACATATTGTATAGATTTTCCCATTTACGTTTGAGTAACGCCTATAAAGCATCCTATATAACCTGGTATTCCGCTGCTAATTGTGTGAAAAGATTATCTCAAAGAAGCAGAGCTCAAAAAATTAAGTAATTTCACCATCTGAGGTAAAGGCAGACAATATAGCGACGTCCACAACATTTTATAAAATTATGTATTCATCATTTCAATCTAATACCTTTAGCCATCTTTTGGGCAATAAATTGATCCCACCCTCATAGTATTTTTGATCCTTGCAGGCAAAATACTATTCTAAGTGGCTTTTGACACCTGTTTTGAGGTGAAAGTTTTTCCAACCAAAAAAAATATTGCAAAAACCGGAACAAGTAACAGTACGAAGTTGCTAAGTCTGGAGTATATGTTGGGTTTGGTAGCTCAGCCCATACAAGCAGCAAAAGCTTTTGGTGAGTCATCAAACTTGTATGTGGCTTCATATTATCTTAGTGAAACAATTTTTCCAGCTAAACACAATAAACTTCCGAGTTAATCGTGGTATTGTCGGGGAAAAGCGCAAAATAAACGATACCTTTGAAATCCCACTAAAAAAAGGTAATGTTGTCTACCTGTTTTTTGTTGACCAGCAGCCTACGAGGTGACCTGAGCTAGTTCTTCCTTCATCTTTTGCGCTTTACATATTATATTTTATCTTCTAAGCCTTCCTGCTCAGTGTGGACATTTCTCAGAAATTTAGTTCGAACAGAATTAGGACAGGAATTAGTAACCTTAACGCAATTTTTAATGTAGTTCCACGCCAGTAACATGGCGCTTCAACAATGGACCAGTTTTTTGACGGTTGATAAACCAATCAGAGTCATTGAAATGACAATTTCGTTCTGTGAGAACATGAGGACCCCATGTGTCATACATCGAAATTAACCCTAGATTAATTCATATTTACGTTGAATAAATTTAATCTTTCAACAATCTTCCGAATTGTGTTTTGACAGAAAGCTATACTGGATCAGTGGTTCAAATTTATGTAATTATATTATAAAGCAATTAAGTGTGAAGTTGACTGCGAAAAATCAAAATAAGGCCAACCAATAGTTTAAAATTTCATTCTGACTCAAGTTTGAACATATCTCATAAATGGTATATGTATGTAATAAGCGTTGATGAATATTTATATACAACTAAGCACACAAACACATATGCATATATGCCAGGTTAAATGCACATGATCTCGATAAAAAATGCAAGTTGCTGCAACACTTCAAAGGTGTTGCAAGCATTTTCGAAAGATTGATGTGTACAAATGGATATAGAAGATATTTAAGTGTATCAGCGACGAGTGAGAATGCGAGTGAGAACGAATACGAATGAATATGCATAATAATATATATAGATGTATGCGCATGCATGTTGCGAATGTAATAAGAGACCGTTATTTACTTTTTGTGTTGTGCAAAACTGATTTTTACACGTCAAAACGAAATCGCATAAATGCAACAGACAGACACAGTAAAAAGTACGAAACCCAAGGTGTGCATAAATGTTACAAAATATAATTTATGTGCGCGCCTCACACTTGTCATGGATATAAGCGCAAATACATACATTTTTACATATTTATCAGAAACTTTAAATGCGTTACATTAAGTGTGAGGTTTAGTCTTGGAGGTGTGAAAGCGGGCGTGTGGATAATTTATGTAACCAGATTTATCAAAATCGAAACATGCACATATCTAACAAAACATATCTACAAAATACTTATATTCCTTTGAGACTTCATCGCAAAAGCAAACATATCAAATTCAGAAGTAAAAAAAGAAAATATGAAAATTTATGCGAAAATGTCATACATATCATGAACAAATGCATATATGCTACATATACATAGCTACATACATATATACAGTTATGTGTATGTGTCAGTAAAACTTTAAGCATTAGAAAACCACAAAACGACAGTAGGCATACAACTTTAATGACTAAATTAATAAACCGAAATATTTCTGTGTACCAAAATATGCAAAAAGAATTTCGCAAATATTACTCGAACAAAACAAACTAAAATAATTATGGAAAAAATGGAAGAAAAGTGATAATTTTTATTCCAATTACTTCTCTGAAAATTTTAATGTATAATTTCGATTACGTAATGCTCCAAGCTGTTTTTGTTGTGTTCTAATATATATATTTTATATTCGTAAATCCAATTTGAAATTTCATTATTGGCCAAAAATGTTCAAACACCAACCTTAGTAACGGCATATATAAATTTGGTCATTTGACATGCAAAACAGTAAATAATTTGCGAAATGGCATATTCAAATTTTTGTTTGTAGTCTATGGTCACGTGTTGGTTAATTAAATATTATTATTGGCAACCGAATTAGTATGGCAGCCATACATGTGTTAATTAGAACATCAACAGTGTGGTAAAATAATTCAAAAAAGTAAGGCAGCGCTAAGTTCGGGTGGAATCGAACATTTTATCCTTTCCCAAGTTTCAAACATCGAAACTGGAGGCATATTTTCAGGTGCTGACAAAACTTTATATTGAAATGTGTTGCGTAAGTGTTCAATATTTACTTTTTAACCCACAAGCGCTATTTCTGTGTTTTACAGTAACTCAAAATATTCAGTACAGTTGAAAAATCGTAGTAAGTCGCGCATATTTTCACGTTCTTATATTTTACATTCGACGTAAGTAAGCTCTGAGTGGTACCATTTTTTCACAGTTGTCATTCAAGAAGTCAGGAAAACCAACCGCCGAAGACGCTTCAGTTTTCACCACAACAATGCGATCTCTCACATATTGAATGAAAAAATTGTATTTTTGAGCACTTAAAACATCTATTTGATGGTTAAGTCCCCCTAAAATTCTGATTTATCGCCGAGTGACTTTTTTATACCCTTACGTAAAAAATTAATGAAGAAATCAACGTTTTTAATGCATGTTTTGTAGAAACATTGAACAGAGTGTCAAACGAGCTCCGACAATTGGTTCAAACACATTCGAAAATGTATAGTTCTTAATGAAAAATATTTTAAAAAACAAAACGACGATTTTAGCAGATTAATATTATTTTTCTCTAAGCCTGAAATATGAAAGGCGGCCCTCGTATTAGAGGTTAAGAAGTTTAGATCGAATTCAGCTGGTGATTAAGAAAAAAATAATAATTTGATTAATAATTTTTACACAAATTGACATATAAAGTAAATTGTTTAAAATATATTGGAATGTCGGAAATGGCCACATTAGGTGTATGGCTGCTAAGGAAGTATTGACTCAATTTTAAGCATTTTTGACCCATGGACATATTACTAACAGAAAAATATACCTTTGGAAACGTACTAAATACCTGAAAGATTGACCAATAATTTCGTTGCAAAGTCCGTCTTAAGCACTGGAGTCCACATATTCGGTCTTTGAGAATTATAAAAGTTGCAGTCCAATTTTGTCAATTTTTAGACATGAGTTCGTATAAATTGTGGTTCTCGATGTATGTATATGTATACTCTGAAATGAATAAAATAGATGGAACTTAAAATTGTTGTATGTGAAAAGTAGGCGTGGTTGTACATTGACTCTCATACTATAGCATAAGAATGTTCGGGTAACGTTGAGCATCAAATTTGTTT